TTGGACTATGCCACTACCCCATCACTTTTGATGATGCCTTTAGCCTTGGTTGTGTTATGGTAAGAGGTGGGCAAACCTTAGTGAATATTAATCTGAGCATGACTGAGCCTAGGATTCAGGTATGTGTTTTGCTGCTTTACCTGTTAGGAAAACGGAGCATAGCTAACAGAGTTTAGTAAAGTGGCTGTATCTAAAGGTTGGAGTACAAATGCTTATTGACTGATCCAGACAAGATTTTCGATGTTTGAGTGTGAGGCCAAGTTAATTTGTGTTGTATGGAGGCTTTATGATGAACATATAAAGCTCTGTCTTTTTTCATCCTATATCTTATCTTTTGTTTCTATGAAGACTCTAAGCTCCAGTATCATCAAATCATAGAAAGCTAAAGCCTGGTATCACGTTATTAGAATGCCCACGGTTTTATCTTTCTAAAGAACAGTTGTAGGCTTGGAACATTTTGGCTGTTACTCTGCTCTTAATATTCAGTCTAAAGTTTAACAGCTTCACAATAGTGTTCCATAACGAATATTACGGTGTAGGGTTGTTCTGACATCCTTTTTATGACTATAATTCAGGTTATTGCATACATCATATAAACCACACACACCAATGCTAATGCACTCTGTTACTGTGAACCATGCGAGAAAGATTACAGAAAATAATCTTCAAAGCAATGTAGAATTCAATAAAAAATGTCTGCAATATTCTCACTTGGGTTTTATGAAAGCTTAATGGTAATTAAGAGACCTTAAGTGTGTCGAATTAAAAAAAACAAAAAACTTATTGTTCAACCAAGCACATTTCAAAGGATTCCAATCTGCTCTATGTGAATTTCTTCAAGACTGAAAGAGAAGGGGAAACAGTTGATGCTTTTAAATGTGTATATGCAAATACAGAAAGCATTGATGTAGGTACTGGAAGAGCACTGGAATGCATATTTAAATATGAATGCAACTATTTATTGTTTAAAATAGATTGAATAGTTACATTTCAAGCATGGAAGACATTATTGACAAAGGAGGACCATTTTTTCTTAAGATGTTTATTGCATACAAGCACATTAAATTATCTGTGTTAAAATTACATCATTATAGTTTCTGATGGGCCATTTTCTTACAACATCCCATAACTCCTTATGGATCACCTGAAAGTTGCAAACTACTTAACAGCATATAAAACCAAGATCACTTCTGTATAATTTACACAAACTTTTTTTTTGAAGGGCATATTGTATGTATTTACTTCCCGATTCAGACTTCATTCTTATCATTAAAATAGACAGTTTAGTATTACACAGAATTGCTTCATTTTTCTGAAATGCTGTACTACTTAATTTAAAAAAAATCATTGAGACTAATAAGATGGGAAAAACTAATGACATATGGCTCTAGTGTTGGAATATTTATTAAGGGTGAAATTCACCCCTGTGCAGAAGACAAGCACAAGGCCTTAAGTTCTGCATACACCCTAGTTGGAGGGCATAAGTGGGACATAAATGATTTAAAGGTTTTGCAGAGCCTCTGTAGGGAGTGAATTCCACCCCAAAAAGAATATGGGACAATTTTTTTAACTGTGTGATGTAGTGTTCAGTATATTGTCTTGGAAAGCCATCGGTATGAAGAAATCTCTCAGCATTCTTAAAGCACCTGTCATCATAGTTTCTATGTACTCTATATGGATTGTAAAAAAAAAAAAAAAAAAAAAAAACCAGAACCATGCAGAAAAGCAGTCAGTTCTTTCTTACTGATCATGTCATCTGTGCGATTTGAGTGCACTTGCTGATTCAGGTTTTCTAAGACATTTATGGATTTTCTATTAGCCCCTTCATAGTTTCTCTCTTTTTTATGTCTTTTTCTGTGTCTCGGAAATTTGTGGGAAAACAGTTCTAACTTAACTTTATTTTCTTAATCTTCAGCTTGAAAGGTTCACTTACCTTCTTTTGAAATATAGCTGTAACAGAGTGGCACGATCTACCCCTCTGCATAGGGATGCTGGACTCTTCTGTGACCTATCAGGCTAGCAGGGGTTAGTGCCCTGCATAAATCAGCTGAGTGAATTCTGCTGACTCTTTGTGGCAGGAAGCTTGTTAACTCTGCCAAGTTATGAGACCTTCTGATTAGAGTGAAACCAGTGATAGACACGAGAACACTTAAGAAGAGTCAGGCTGGAAGGATTAAGTTTAGGCTGACGTTTGTTTTAAATTACTACTGCAGCAAGACTTCAGGCAGGGGGTAAGTTTGACCTTACACAGCACTGTAGACTTCATTTGGAGCAGAATGAGAATGACCACCAGCATACAATAACTATGAAACTGGCATTAGTTAGGCAAGCAGCAAACAGAGACTTCTCGGTTAAACTCTCATTTTGTTACTTTGTCATCTCGCCCACCCTCATCATGTTTCTGTTTTGTGCACCTGTCACCTCCTGTCTGACACCTAGACTGTAAATTCTGTTTTTATTTGCCTGTGCAGAATCTAGCATGATGTGGCCCTGATCCTTGATGGCAGTTCCTATGTGCTATCCAATGATAATCTCCGTTTCTGCCATCCCCCTCTAATGAGAATCAGCTGTCAAAGATTTAACTCATATTATTGTTTGTACAATTTCCATGACGCTATTAATACTTCTAAACACTATATTTTAGAGCAGGGATCAGCAACCTTTAGCATGTGGCCGGCCAGGGTAAGCACTCTGGTGGGTCAGGCCAGTTTGTTTACCTGCCGCGTCCGCAGGTTTGGCCGATCGCGGCTCCCAGTGGCCGCGGTTCGCTGCTCCAGGCCAATGGGGACTGCGGGAAGCGGCGCGGGCCAAGGGATGTGCTGGCTGCCGCTTCCCGCTGCCCCCATTGGCCTGGAGCTGCGAACCGCGGCCAGTGGGAGCCGCAATCGGCCAAACCTGCGGAAGCGGTAGGTAAACAAACTGGCCCGGCCCGCCAGGGTACTTACCTTGGCAGGCCACATGCCAAAGGTTGACGATCCCTGTTTTAGAGAGACAAGTATGTCTGAGTGTTCGTTCAGGCACACTATACAGAGACGCAGAATGAATTGTTCATACAAATAACTGGTGATGATGAGATGTTAACTTTTAACTTCAGATTTTCCAGTGATAGACAAAAGTTGCATGGTCCTGTGTCTCTAGTGCAGCAATGAGGATCAAAACACTAAATTATTTCTCTACCAACAATTTTACATAGCTTTTCTATATAATTTTTCAGCAAAACCAGGGCTTTTTTTTCTGGCCTTGCAGTTTTTACTTAGTAAACTGATATATGATAGAGTTTATTTGGCTGTCCTGTCTGATTTTTAAAAGTTACAGGCAAATTTTCAAACAGATTGTGTGGGGGATGCATTTAAAAATTACATACTTAACTTTTTTCTATTTATAATATGAAAGAAATTGCTGTACGTAAGTAGGGAAGCTACAATTTTACGAGGTGTGGAAATAAGACTTATTTACCAGTATTAATTTAGAATGGGAAAATAGCTCTGACTGCTGAAAGGAGAGAGTAATTTGAACAGAAATGTTGGTATAAATAGTCATATGGGCATTATCAGACAGGCTGTATAGCTCTCATTTCTCGGTTTATAATTAAGTTTTTACATGGTTGCAATCTGGAATATTGTGTCCCCTTAAGAGACTGACATTTAAACATTGAATGATGGAAGATATGTTGTGCTCATAACCAAAAGAAAACTCTCCACTTATATGCTGCTCTTAAGTAAATGCTGTTGTCTTTTACTGCCACCTTTGTCAGAACAGAAATATTAGTGTTCCCATTTGGCATTCAGATTCTGTGGTGATGGGGACCTTAGTAGTACCCAGATATTTAAATAAATTCTCTTCGAACTACAATGATCATAAAAAGAACTGAAGTTAAAAAATGAAGGTGGTAAGCATAATCTTTTAGCTATACTGTACATTTTTAATAGGGTCATTATGAAAAGAGGCTGATTGGCTGACAGCATTTAAGTGTAACTGTCTAATGTAACCATTAGTCAGTTTTAGTGAACTTACTGTTCAGTGTTTAACAAAAAATCTGTGTTTAAAAATTAAAAGCTCTTGCATACTTTGGGTGTATATCTACACTGGATACCCATTTTTCTTGTGTTTTGAAGTCTCTTGGCCTTGTGTTTCACCTCGCATGGTATAGTTGTCTAGCATAACTGCACACCTGATTGCATACTTATACTAACAAAGTTAAGAAACAAGCATTTATATGCTGAATTTATTTCTGACTCCCCTGGGGTCATTAGTGTGTGTGTGTGTGTGTGTGTATATATATATATAATATAAAGGGCTTCAAAAATTTGCCAGACAGCTGCAAGCCAGTGGTCTAAACCTAATAAGGAAGAAGTATGAGCTCAAGGATAATGGGCTTGTGAGAAACTCAGCAGCTCACCTTCAACTGCTGAGAAGGAGGATTGGACTGGGATTCTTACCAAGGTTTTGTCCCTCAACCTCTGTTATGGACTCAAGGTAGAAGGTCACTAATAAAATTGAAGTCTTCCTTCTCTATCTATCTTCTGGAAGGGAGAAACAGCTATCTCTTTGCCCTTCCTCCAGAGCCTCTTAACTACTTCGGTGGAATGGGACTTCCTAATCTATTCCTGCCCACGAGGTTTTTGTGGGGATGAAGAGGGTCCCCTCCATGAATACTCCAGTAGTCCACTGCTAGTTGCTTTCCCAAGTAGCAGTAATGTAAAAATGACATGACAGTTCTCAGTTGCACTTCTTTCCACAATGTTCAGTATAACAGTGGTAAAACCGACCCGTATCTCAGACATTATATATAGACCAGAACAAAAACCCTAGATCCAAATATAACTGAACTTTGGGTCTGAGATCTAAAGTTGAATTTGGCTGTCTGGACTTTTGTCTTTTATGTATTGTGTGTGTGTGTGTGTGTGTGTGTGTGTGTGTGTGAGAGAGAGAGAGAGTTTAATACACACGCAGAGTTCCATATGAAGAAACTTCAATTTACTTTATTACTTATTTTTTAGGTAAAGAAGATGAATTTCCAAAGAAGCCGTTGGGACAAATTCCATTGGAACCTCAGCCTGCCGTGCTTAATCTTACTCATATGCTCAATGGACAGAGCAACACTAGTATTTCAAGAACGCAGACAGCAAGAAGGACAGAAAGGAGACTATCTCCTGAAAAAGTACAAGAAGATTCACCAAATAACCGAAGAAGAATTAATTCACTGGAAAAGAAGCCTTCTTTAAAACAACAAAAGCCTGGACCAGTAGTCCGGAGTGAGCTATCTAAGAATGACGTAGATATCAGAAAAAAGCCTCAGTCAACAGTACAAGACAATTCTAGACAATATAACAATGCAGCTGCTAACCAAAATTCTAATGCTACTTCAGATACAAGAAGGGAATTTGTACCTAAATGGAATAAACCTTCAGATATCAAAGTTATTGAAAAGACTACAAAACTTACCGTGGAGGTAAAAGGTAGGTCAGTAAACCATGCTATTTCAGGCACACCACCAAGTCCTGGTGAACCACAGCCATTGAATGTAAAGCAAAAGATGAGGGGTTTGGATGCTGATGGAGGTAAGCGAGGGTCTAACGCATCGCAGTATGACAATATTCCAGGTGTTGACCATGAGAATGAGAATCCTGTTGAGGAGATGCTGGAAAGAGCTCATCCGCAAAGTCCCAGGAATGTAACATACTCTAGTAGTCCTAGAAAGCAAGGTGCAAAAATTCCTGGCCCACTAAAAATATCCAACAATTATGCCATCAGTTCCCAACAGAGAAGCCCAAGATATTCATCTCAGTCTGATGGGTCAGATCACAGATCAAATGTTAAACAGCCACCACCATCTTATAGTAACCCACCTACGTACCAAGGAAACACTCCAAAGCAAGCCTCCGGCGCAATTAGTGCAAGTTTTGTACCTTCACAGTATAATCATGGGTATCGAACCAACACTTCTGGTAGACCATATGGTTCTATTTTTTCAACAGATTTTTCTCCAGATAAACCACATATGAACTCTTATCCTGCCAATCGCCAAAATCCTATTTCTCCACCTTCTAGTCGAATAGAAGTCTTACCTGTTGATGCCTATCCTGGCAACTCTAGATCACCCTCAGGTGTCAAATTTATAATTCCTCCAGTGGATTATTTGCCAGACAACAGAAAGAGGCCGGATGCTGCTTATATGTACAGACATGAGATATACAGGCAGCCCTGGAACCAAGATGCTAACCAAAGCCACTTGGGTAATTTACAGAAGTATGCAGCCAGTCAGCCAACACCTTTTCAGGACCATAATCTTCCAACTGTTTCTGTGGATAGTCCAATAAGATATAGGACTTCACCAACCTTGGAAGAACATGGTTCAGCACAATATCAATATTCAGGCCCACCAGCCCCTGCCCAGCACTACAGAAACCAAAATGATGGGATGTCTATGCATGAATCAGTGCTTCTGTGAGAATCCATCAATGCTAACTAATAAGCAAGAACTGAAAACATTAGATATATATTGCTGTGTTTATAATTGTCCAAGTCAGTATTTTATACAGAACGTGGGCAGTTCATGCAGTTCTCTGATAAAGTAATAACATTATTTCAAAGCCGTTTTAAACTTTGGCTGAAAGGTAGTTGAGCTTTTAAACTTGCATTGAACCTGTTGAAAGGGATCTGATGCATATAAACATAGCAATAGCAGTAGAGTCATCTGCAAAATGTGTCTAACACTACCGTGTTTCTGAAATTTAAATAATTTGCACAGAGCTATGATCTTTCTGCCTAGCAACTGTAACACATTTGCAAGCTGTATTTTGACTGACATTACAATGCAGTAAGTGTGCTTGTGCAAATACACAAACATGTATCTGGAGAAGAACTAAAGAGTCTGAAATGTAGATGCATTTACTCTTGGGCTAGGTTAGTGAAGTATTTTATTTCAGTTTAATTATTTTCTTTGTAATTTATTTGATAAATGACCCATTCATTTTGGATGGCCTTTCCTGTCTTTGTATACAAACTGCCTCAGTAACCCAGGATCTGATTGAAGTTGGAGAGATGCTCTGGGTTGTTAATGTAATCTTACATGGGATGCTATTTCCCAGTTAATCTCCATTCCTTTGGCTGCTATCTTGCCTTTCCCTCAGCCAGAAGGAACAGACAAGCAAAACCATGGAGCCAAAAAGAGTGTCACTCTGATCTGGCCGACAAATGGTGCTTAAAATCAGGGCAGTCTGAGTGTAGCAAGTCTTTAGGGTATGGGTGAACTTTCAGCACGGAATCTGTACCTTTGTACCCAAATCCAATGTTGCAAAGCAATGCTTTGTGTTCCCATTTAAGTCCCCTGAACTATTTGAGCACAACATATACAATGCTAGAAGCAGAAATGGTGCTGCATTCTCACAGCATGCAGCCTTACCATGGGGTCTAACTTAGCAAACCAGTCATAGTGTGAGCTACTGGATTGCCAAACAGTCCTCTTACTGGTATAAGAGTATTGCCAGTCACTTGAAACTTGGGAGCCGAACATGGGGGTCGTGTAGCTATTTTGACCCTCTGTGTGTGGTGTAGGGTTGCCAACCCTCCAGGATTGTCATGGAGTCTCCAGGAGTTAAAGATTAATCTTCAATTAAAGATCATCATCTGATGCAATCTCCAGGAATACATCCAACCAAAATTGGCAACCCTAGTGCTATATGAATGCATTCAGTGCTCTTTCCCATGAGCTTGATAATGTCAGTTCAATGACATGTTTTGCTTTTGCCCTCCTTTTTCCAGAAAGCAATAGGTTCATGTCCAGGATGGGGCAAGTGCTGCTGCACTGTCAGGACATTGAGAAATTGTGTGATGTGCAGCCCTGACTGTTAATAAGAAGCTTAATAGACTCTTTGTAATTAAATATTTTTTTTAAATTAGTGTTTGCAGCCTTTTGTACTCTACATTCTCCTTGGCTTTCATCCACTGTGAAAAGAAAAAAAAAATGCAGGTTAAGTGGCATACTTGGGGTGCAGTCTTATGAGCTGCTGAATGTAGGAATTGCTAAGCACTCTGAACTCTCATTGAAGTTAATGAGAGCTGAGGGTGACAGACCTCTTGCAAGACTGAGTCCTTATAAATCTTTTCTGTTAAAAGCTCCAATACTTAAATACCAAAACACTGGTAGGTTCGGGACCCTTAAAAATCAGTCTTTGTTTGGGGAGGTTTTTGTCAATTTGCATTTTCTCGAGGTGCGTTAGCGGAGTACATTGAACACTAGAAAACAGATACATTTTTCTTTTAAAGAATGAGCTGTAGTGCCTATTCTTGCTGCGGGTTAGCTGTCTAGGTTTTAAGGTACAGAAGTAAAATGTTTGGTTTTTTTAAAAAAATGGAAGTAACATTTAGTATATTTCACACACTTCTTTTGTGTATATAATGAGCGGTGTAATTTGTAATGAACGGGGCAGTTTTGTATTTTAAAGATTGCAAACTGCAGTGAAGGAACAGTAGCTAAGCACTACACTGAAAAACTCCAAACTGAAATTGAGATGATGAATATTACTTGGGCTTACCTTAGTTCTGATTGCTTACAGCAGCTTAGCAATGTATGTATATAATGTGGTTAAGTGTAATAATCCCAAAGTTTTAACCATGGTTCTGTGATTCATAATAAATAAAGCTGTACAATTTACTTTGTGCTAGCAGCCTGGGACTGCTCCAAAATATGTATCAACACTAGTAAATACTGTAGATTTTTATATATAAAATATATACACACTATTTTCTTATGTCCTCTGCAACAGTTTTTTAACTGTGTATTCTATTTTGATGTGGTTGCATTTTTAACATGTATAATAATAATAATAAAGTCTATGTTGTTGTGTCTTTTTTTACCATGTTTGATTATGCTTGTAGGCAAAAGCCATAATTCTGGTCTTCCCGGGATAAACTATTATTTTTTAAAAATTAACGGTATACTCTTGTATAATGGTTGCCCTATTTAATTTGTCTGTATGTGTTTTCTTTTAGACTGAGCAATATCAATATATAATTCAGAAGTTACAGCTTATAGTCTTCTTCATTGCTAAACCTAGCCCTCAGCAATGGCTTTAGAAACGACGAGTCTGAACTGTCATTATAACTTTCCTGCCCTATCCCAGTGTTCTCACCCTATATCCGTCAACAACAGTGGACTTATTGACATGATAGAGCTATACAATTTTACTAATCAGACTGAAAAATATAATTTTACTCAGGATTTATGTAGCAGTGATCTGTACTGTCCTAAAGGGAAACTGGCACATCATAGTTTGTAGAATAAAAGTCTTATTTATGGGTAAACTTCATCTGCCTATTTAAGGTAAATGCATTGCAAGCATCAAAGGAATTATTCATGTTAGTTACCAAAAAGCTCAATATTACAGGAAACAGTAGGAGACAACTCTATCTGTAGCTTACAGTAAGAAACAATTCTGCATTGGCTGGTGTAATGGATTAAATGTCCTGACTGGAGCTTTTCCTTCTCTGCTTTTTATAATTCTAAAACGTGCAAACAGTAAATATAGCTCCATAAACAAATTTAGGGCCCATTTTTTCCTTCAGTAACACTGGTGAATTCAGTGAGAGTTGTACTCACACAGTTGAGAGCAGAACTGAGCCTTTATGGTAAAAGTAACACACATCCCCCACAAAAATGAATTTAAAAGTGCCAGCACTGATGCTGAGGAGTTTAGCAACTCCTTGGCCATGGCTTAGGAGAGCTGTCTGAATGTTAGTCAAAAATACACCTTTGAAATGAACCACTCAATAATTCCAAAATTTGATTTGAACAGTAAACAACATCAAAATGTCAAAAAGACGGAACAGCCTAGCGAAGCAGAGAGGTAAATCCCTTTGATTCCCTGAGGAACACATGTACATTTTCCAAGAATATTTTTTAAAGATTCCTACCCTGAGTTTCACATTATCCTAGATATGACTTTGAAATTGGACTTGCAAATCATAGATTTTTTTTTAAATCTCCCCCGTGAGTCCCATTACACTGCCTGCACAATATATGCCATCAAATGCCCACCTTTTCTTTTCCAGCAGTGTGCAGTCTGCTGCCAGTACTTCAGTGAGAAAAAGACCCTTTTTATAGTTCTGTAAACATGGCATGCTTATGAAGATCTGTGAATGTAGCATACTTAAAATTTAACAGCATTTTAACCTGCGTAGTTTCTTAGCATTTTCCTTTTAGGGGATGTTAAGCCAACACAAATGCTTTTCAATACACTGTCACAACGAGGAGATAGCTAGATCAGTAACAAAAAATCTGAACCATGATGGCAGTAATTTGAACATGGCCTTTAAAATGGTTGCCACATCTATCAGGCATGAGGAAAGAAACTGTTTTGGGGCTTCTTGGTGCCAAAAGAATTTTTTTCCCGGAACAAAGAACCTGAGTTTCTTTGTCCCTCCACTGCCTAGCATTGACTAGTTTTGTTTGTACTTATATTGTAATGCATCAACAGAAAACCACTCATGCTTTTTAAAGGTACAAAAACTAGAGAGTTTGAATCTTCTGAGAACCAACATTTCATCATCTGGCTTTTGACACTGATTTTGAAGTTTGTTTGTTCTGCTTATGTTATTTGGGTAGGTCAGAGAAAACTAAGCTGTGCTGTACTTCATTATTCTTTTCTCCCTTCATTCTGGTAACCTCCCTTGACCCCTTCTCTGGAGTTTTCTGAACAACTGTGTTCCATTCCTCCTCATCTACTGCTATTCATTGGTAATGGCTGCTAAGATGGTTAAGACAACAGAGGTTATCATATGTCTCTTCAGCCTTTTCCAGACAATGTCCAAAGCAAACTGTATTCTGTGCATTGAATGCATTTATCCACAAGCCTTAATGGTAAAAGTTTACTTAGGGGCACGGTTACATATTATACATGTTCTAAGCCTCTCTTGTTGTGGAAACTTTTTTTCAAGGGGGTTTTAAAGGCTTTCTTAAGTGTATGTGAGTAAGAGAGAGTGATATATTGGTGCTGATCTCTGAAGATACAGTTACACTTCAAGAATACAAAAGGGGTAGGGACAAATTCTTTCTTGGATATATATGCACATTTCCCTTCACCACTCCATTTATTGTCTGTTTCATCTTTTTGCCTCCCTCTCTCGCCACTTTAGCTCTGACTGTGATGCCGCTTTGTCTGCTTGCTTTGTCCAAGAACTCTTTTAGAACAGTGGCTAAAATGGTGCTGCATAGGGAGACAACACATTAGAGCTGAGATTGGAGTTATGGAAACTGCTAAGGATATTATCTGGGTCTCTCCCTCCATATTTAGCAATGCAGGTGCAATTCAGAAGGAGAATCTACTAGATAAAAGGTATGTCAGCCTTCTTAATGGATATTAAGATATTCAGTATAGTCTGAATTTGCAACACCTTTTCTTTTGGGAAGATATGTGTTCAAGATAATTATGAACAGGTGTCTTCCCCACCATGCTCCAAACGCAGTCAACGCGACGGTTATTTTTATTCACAAAAAGAACTCCAAATTCAATGAGACAAAATCCAGGTCAAGCCCATGCTTGTCTATTCCTGGCGTTTCCTCCCAAGGGCTGTTCAGCCCACACCCTCGATCCTCTGTTTTAAGAGCCACATCCTCCTCTGCTAGCAGTTAATGAGCCATCTGCAACGGTTGAATCAGAAAACCACACTTCAACATTTTCCATGATCATCACCACCACTACCTACTAGGTAGGGAGGGGCTTTGAGGCAAACAGCCACCCTGATATACAAACCTTGTAACTGTTGATCCAGCACAAGCATCAGGGGAAGTGGACACTTGGTGAAGATTATGCCTGAGTACCTGCAATAATTTGAGTTCTGATCTTAAGTTGTGAAGAAGATGGCCTGAATTTTCCAAAGTGACTAGCAATTCTTGGTTGCCTTCAATTTTTGGGAGCCCAACTGGAGACACCTTCTGGGGACTTGTTTTTCGTAACATGCTGAGCACCTACCCTCTGAAATCAGGCATCCTGATGTGCAGGATCATTCACTTAAAAATAATAATAATTGGGCAGTGGGTCCATTTTGGAACCCATGGGAGTGTAAGGGCTTGTCTAAACTCAAAACACTTCAGTGGTGCCGCTGTAGCACTTCAGTGAAGACGCTACCTACACTGACAGAGGAGTTCTCCAATCAGCGTAGGTACTCCACCTCCCCAAAAGGCAGTACAGAATTCTCCCATTGACCTAGCACTGTCTACACCTGGGGTTGGTTGGCTTAATTGCATCACTCAGGGGTGTGGATTTTTCACACCCCTGACTTACATAGTTACACCAACCTAATTTCCTAGTGTAGACCAGGCTTAAGTCAGCAGTGTCTGGCCTAATAAATGTGTGCATAGTAAAGGTTTTCAATATCAAACTGAACAGCATGGATTTTAACCTGAAAACCTATCAGCTCGAAGCTTCCTTGAAAGCCACAAATTAACTCCTCTGTAAAGAAACTAAGGGATTTTCTACACTACCGCGCAGGGTCAATCTGAGATACGCAACTTCAGCTACATGAATAGCGTAGCTGAAGTTGACATACTTAGATCTACTTACCGTGGTGTCTTCACTGCGGTAAGTCGACAGCTGACGCTCTCTCATCGACTCCGCTTGCGCTTCTCATTCTGGTGGAGTACCGGAGTCGAAGGGAGAGCACTCAGCGGTCGATTTATCGCATCTATACTATATGCAATAAATCGCCCCCCGCTGGATCGATCGCTGTCCACCGATCCAGTGGGTAGTGTAGATAAGCCCTAATTGTGTTGCAGCAGATTAACCTGACACCAACTAATTAGGCAAACACTCCAGACACTAGATTTAGTGCTTCCTTTCAAGTTCAAGCTTCTTGTCCTAACCTTGGATGCCCTTCACAACTCTGCCCCTTTCAATCATTTGTCTGCCTGCCTTGTTCCATGAGTTCTGCCACTGCTGCCAGACCTGACCTGCCTACCTGTCTGTCACTCCGACAAATATCTTCTCTCTAGCTTCTGGATTATCACCTTTTCCATGATGCACCCTGCCTGCATTGAGCCTTAGTACTACCTTGAAGCTCCTCAAAACCCACTCCCACCACTGACTACAAGAAATCAGCCAATCTGCAACGCCTGGGCTGAAGGGCAATTGGGGAAAGTAAATCTCTTTAGGTGATTATCAAAAAAACCAAAATGTATACATGAATATAAACATGTATTAATGGCTGCTTGAAAATACATATAGTTAATGGTCACCATCTTCCCCACCTCTTCATGTGTTGCTTGTCATCAAAGGCCACGAATCTTGCAGAGTATCGGGCACCTGCTTGACTTTGTACACTGGGGGCAGTCCCGTTGACTGACCTGCGTATGGTTTTGCATAATCAAGGCCTTGGGTTGTAAGATTTTTGGGTCAGGGACCTTGTCTACCTTTTTGTGTTTATATAGTAGCTGGCACAGTGACGGGGGGGGGGCAACTGTGACTCGGATAAACCGGGCACATTGCCACTGTGGAAATATTTAATAAGTAGCCGCAAGCTCAGCAGGAGATAAATAGCCTATTTTAGCTGTAGAATTAGAAAGCTCACTGCTAGAGTAAGCAATTAATTTGCAATTAAGGGAGTTCGTCCACTCTTCATAATTGTACCTAAACCTTTGTTGCTATAAAACATGATATTGCTACATAGCACACTATTACAAAATGCGTTAATAGCAACATCATCTGGTGCTCTTTCTTTGCAGCCAGACTACTAAGCTGGTAACTTAAGTTCCACTTCCAGCAATTGTTTTACCAGGCTTGCCCAATGAGAGTTGAAAACACTATCTTCATAAACAATCAAATGAGTCCCTGGTCCCTTGTAAGCATTCATGGCTATTCAGATAGTAAATTTTGTTTTTTATGGAAAGACACAAAGAGGTATTCAATTTTAATCACTTCTTTCCTCCACCGCCCCTCTTTGGACAGTCCAAGTTTTGCCACGGCATTAATGGGAAGGGTAAAATAAAACTGCTGTTGAATGCTGCA